GCCCGTCCCAATGGCAGAGTTGGCAAAACCAAAGGGAAATGTCAACCAGGTCAACATTCAGAGACGCTCCCCTCCCACTGCACCCCTGGCAGCACGAATCTGTCCCCATCTATAACTTCATCGTCCAAGAATGTCGCAGAAACAGGAGCAGGCAGCATGTGACGTGTTCTCACTAAGCCAATTCCTTGCAGACCCATCCGGGCCCTCGTGGGTGTTGGAGGCGTCCCGGCTTTCTAGCTCTGGGACCTGGGCTCAGGCCCTCGGTCTCTTGTGCTTCAGCTTCCTCCTCCCTTCACGGGACAAGGCACATCATTGGGGTGACAATACACATCCCTGGGCTGTTACCAGGGGTGACTGCCGGCTGGCGCCCCATCCCGGTCCTCTGGCACCGAGCCCCCTCACTACATCCCCTTGATGCCAGCAAGGGTGAGCCGTGACGACCGTTCAGGAGCGATGAAGTTTGGCCGGGAGAAGACTTAGTTGTCCTGTACCCTAAATTCTCCCATACAATCCAGTTTGGGGGTCCGACTTCCTCATCTCCTAGGACCTGCTCTGTCCTGGGCCCCTGGTCTACAGCACACACCCGTCCAGACGGCATGGACCCCGCCAGAACCACACACACAGGGGTGTCCGTGGGTCACTCTAGGAAGAGGTCGCCGGCCTTGAGCTACAGCTGAACCCTGACATCACATCAACTGCGGTGTGGATGGCACTGTCATCCCAGCGGCTGGTCTGTGCTGGTTTGAAACAATGCTCGAGGTTGAACAATCTGTAGTTTCTATTTTCGCAAGTCAAAGCTGGTTGCATAGTGAGTGGGTCAGGGTCAGCTGAATGCTACAGCTCAGGTGCCCCTGAAGACACGTGCCTGGACTTGCAGGTGTCCTAGCAGGCACCTTGGACACTGGTGCTGTGCTTTCCGTGGGGTACACTCCTGGGAGAAACCTGGCCGCTATGCAGGACCAGGTGGTGCTGGGCGAGAGTCCTTGCCTTGAGGCTCGGCTGTGCCACTGGCCACATGGACCTCAGCAAGTCCTTCAGGTTCGTCCTCACCTGAGAGATGGGAGGCGTGCACGCACCGCTGCTCCCATGACCCAAGGCTCCAACAGGACAGGAATCGGGTCCTGCTGCTGTCAGCATCTCACTGGGGGGCAGGACCCCATTCTGCTCACCCTGGTGTCCCCAAACCTGGATCCTTGTCCTGTGAATGGTGTACGCAGGGGCCGTCAGTCCTGGCTCTTGGCGGCGCATGAGAGGCTCACACTCACCTTGTAATCAGAAGCGGGTAGAGCCTTGGGGCCTCTCAAGTCCAGCCTCTGCTTTCTGGAGGAGGCAGACGCATATTCAGGTCACTAACCACACGACCCTCCTCTCTGGCCTGAGACCCCAAGATCTGTACATCCTTCTATCTTTAAACAAAAATAACCGGACTAGTTATGTCCCCCAAAATTCAGGTGGAAGCCCCCACCCCAGTGTGATGGTGTCAGGAGGCGGGGCCTTTGGGAGGTGACTGGGGAAATGAGGTCATGGGGGTGCCCCCCATGGGGTTAGTGCCCCCAGAAGAGACACCCGAGAGCTTGCTGTGGTTCCCTCCCAGCAGTCAGCACAGCAAGAATGCGGCGTCCACACACCAGGGAGACACCTCATCAACACCTGCCCTGTGGGCTCCCTGGTCTCGGACTCCAGCCCGCAGATCGAGAAACAGCCTCTGTTATGTCTCTCCATCGGTGGGACAGGCTATGGTGGCCAGGCTGATGGAGACACCTGCTCTTAAACCCGTGGCCTGAGAAGGTGCAATAGTAATGAAAAGGCAAGGCAGAGATCTGCACCCCGTTCACATGGCCCATGGTGGACAGGAGACAGTGGCAGAACAGCTGGGGTCCCGGACAGAAGCTGCCAGGCTGGGAAGGGCTCGCAGACGCCCTGCTCACACTTAACGGGAAAAAGGAAACCCTGATCTTCTGAGGCTGTGCTGGGGTGTGAGAGCCGATCGTCCGCTGGGCACATCACGTTCGTCCCCACAAGGACACGCTGGCTAGCCAAGCCTGTTTTCTTAAGACAGGATTTGGGAAACCTCATCAACACTTCCAAGGGTTCAGATTCCTGGAACTTGGGCTGAGTCTAAGATAACAGATGCGTGCATGAGGAGCACTTGCCCGTGAGACGGCGAGGAGGCCTTAAAAGGAAAGTCTTTGCAGAAGGGAGACAATGGGACTGACTTATATGTAAACTGAAAAGAAAAATGGACAGTTTTAAAATTCTTCCATGTTTAAAAACACATGCAGCAATGGGTCCACAACTCAAGCTGTAATAACAGATTAATCCACGAATTCCAAGTTCTGATATAAAGTCTCAAATAATTTAAAAAATACCAGGACCCACACACTCCCAACTGAAACTCTTATCTACACAAATTTACAATGTTTATAAATAAATCACAGACAAGTCCTGAATTACATTTACCACGAATTTGCTCTAGGGAGATGCACACACCAAAATACCACGAACGCTAATTAACAAAGTTCGACCTTAGACTTACATGTAATAAATGACAACAACGTGAGACACAGAGGAAGGTAAGCTAACCGTACAAAGCAGCAGCCGTTTTGATAAGAGCTGCTGGGTTACAACACGCAGTTAAGTTGCAACTGGTAAGGATGTATGGTTCGTTCACAGCGGTCCAGCTCTCTCTGGGCAGTGACTTCCTGGATGGACAATTAACACAGCAACGCAGGACGTGACAGAGTCCCCACCCAGAACAAGTCGGACCCTCTTTGGGGTCAGCCCTGGCCTCTGGCTCCTGGTCCCTGCCTTGGGACAAAACAGCAAGAAGACAGGCGAGGGGGGCGGGGAGGAGGGCTGCAAGCTCCTGCCCATCGTCACAAACACACACACACAGCTGGGCACCTGCGCAGTCCAGGCAAATACCAGCCGAAATCCGGGCGCAGGACACACCACCTGGACGCGGTGCATCACCCTGACAAGCTCCAGGGTGTCTCAGGCCCAGAACACAATGCTCTTCAGCAACACGGTCCACATGGTGCAGACTGGGGCCGGGGCCGATTTGTCCACTGCCGCCTGGCATTGGTCCGAAAGCCCCACCAGTCACCATATAAACTAGGTTCCCCTGGAGGGCTGGACTCATCCCAGACAACTAGCCAGGGCAGTCAGCGTCCCCAGTGTAAGGCCACTGGGGGCTCTAGAAAGACTTACTGGAGCTGCCACCTCCTGGGGCATCTGTCCTGGCATCTCTGCCAGCACGACGCTCCGCAGGACAGCTGCAGCTGGGCTGGGAGCCCCACATGCCCGCGCGCCTGCTACCCCAGGTGTGGCAGTGGCAGCAGCGCTCAGGGGACACCCTCCTTCCTCTGACAGCACTGCGAGGGCGGCGCGGACCAGTCGTAGACGTAGGAGAGGCGCAGCTGCACCTCCTGCTTGCAAAGGCGGCCCTCGCGCGTCAGCGTCTGGTGCTTCTCCAGCATGTCCTCCAGGCTCTGCTTGTGTGTCACGAGGTACTGGTTGCTGCAGCCGCGGGACTTGTATTCGGTGTCGAAGCGCGGGTCGTGCTCGCGTTGCACGTCCACGGGCGCCAGCCAGGCGCCCAGCGACACGTCCTCGCTGTGCCACGCGCGCAGGTACTCGCGGCTGAGGCGCAGGTAGCGCACCAGATCCGACGAGAGCACGTACCCGCCGCCCAGCGCGTAAGGCAGGTAGTAGTCGCAGAGCTGCCAGGCAGCCTCGCGCCAGCGGCCCCCGGGCTTGACGCGGCCGCGGCCCGAGAAGAAGCCCCAGTAGAGGCGGCGGCGGCGCACGGGGTCGCGGGCACGCAAATCGGCCAGCAGAGCGTCCAGCCGCGCGAACGAGTCGTCGTCCGCCTTGAGCACGAACTCGAAGTCCACGTGCTCGTCGAGCCAGGCCAGCATGGCCAGCACCTTCACGGTGAGGTTCTCGTACGCGTCGCGCAGCGTGGGCAGCAGCAGCAGGTCCCCGTGCCGCGCCTGCTCGCGCTCCAGGGCGCGCCGCTCCTCAGCGCCCAGGCCGCCCGTGCCCACCGCGAAGCGCGCCCACACGTCGCCCGGGCCGCCGCGCCGTGCCGCCGCCAGCCACGTGCCGCGGACCACGCTGCGCCGTT